TATGCGGGAGGAGGTGCAGGGGCTCCTCCAACTCGCGGCTGCCGCCTGCGGCGTGGACGCAGGCCAGATGGGATCCCACTCCCTGCGCATCGGGGGCGCGACGGCGTTGTACCCCGCCTGTCGCGACCTGGAAGCGGTCAAGAGGTTCGGGAGGTGGTCCACGGACGCCTTCCACGGATACCTCTGGGAGGACCATCGGCGTCAGGCTCCATTCGCCCGAGGCATGGCGGAGGGCCACGCCTTATTGGCCCCGGACGCCCGCGGTGACGACGGCGCCACGGCCGGTGCCCGCCCCGACCAGTTGGCCGGGAACGACCCGCCCCAGTTTGGGAGCGATCTGAGGCCCTCGGAACGCCCGGCCTGGGCGCCCGGGCGCCCCCCCTGGGCGCGCCCTTCGGCGCGAGCAGGGTCAACTACGGAGGGGGAAGGAGAGGAGGAATTGGTGAGACACGAGCCAGGGCGAGGAGTTAACGGGCGTGTGGGAAAGCAGCAGGCGGGTCCCACGGGTATTCAGGTCAGGGCGGGGGCTTCGCGTTGTGGGGGTATCCCGGTGGACCTTTCGCCCTCGACCCCCCTTTCGCTACCGCTCCCGATCGCCCCAGGCACGCCCACCTCCTCTTGGTCCTCTCATCCGCAGCCATCTCCCACTCCAGAGCGAGGCACGCGAGCAGCGCGCGCACCCCAGCCTCGCGCGCCAGCCGCGCCTTCGCCCCGCGCTCCGGCAGCGTGCATCATGGGATTCCTGGTGGGCCTGGTGGCCCCGGACCAGAGCAAGGCGCGTGGCCATGACTACAGCATCATGGAGGTGAACCCCCTCGGCGTCGTCGTCTCGGGGGCCGCGCTGTCGGACGAGCTCCGGAGTGCCGCCCACAACATCCTGTACACGGTGGTGAACGAGCTGGACAGCGAGGACCTCGTCGAGGTGGTCAACCACGACCACGAAGCAGCCCCGTGCATCGCGGCGGCTTGCCTGGCCGCGGGGGCGAGCGAGGACCACGGCCAGCGGGTGATCGTCGACGGCAAGCGGGGCGCGTGGGGAGTGGGCGCGGGGCCGAATATCAAGGTCCAGCGCCAGGCGGCCAAGCTGGCGCTCGCCCTGGCCCAGTTCCAGGGGCAGCCCATGCCGGAGCTCCGCGAGCTCTGCAAGCACAACAGGGGGCTGCTCGACATGATGCGCACAGTGGACGCGGATGCGGTCGTGGAGCTCACCGACGTGGACGACGCCTCGAGCAGGGGCGAGGGGAGGTCGACCCCAGCCCCGGTCCTCGAGGCGGGAGAGGACGCGGTCACCGCGGCGCTGGCGCGCGCGGCCATCCAGGCTGCAGCGCGGCGCCAGAGCAAAGGCGCTCCAGCGGAGCGCCCGCGGCCCGCGCGGTCCCCAGGCCAAGAGCGCCTCGCCGAAGAGGTCCGCAAGCGCGAGAGGCGCCATGCGCCCTTGCGCTCGCCCTCGCGCGCGAGGCGCCGCGATCGCGAGCGCGATGCGCCTCGCGATCGCGGGCGCAGGGGACAGGAGGAGGAGGCCGTCTTGAAACCCACGACGGGCGGCGCCCCCCCGAAGGCCGACATCGCGAAGCGTGAGGCCGTCCTGAAGCCCAAGAGCGGGGGGGCGCCGCCGCGGTCCTTCGAGGTGAAGACCGAGGTGGAGGAGGCGCCAGGCGCGGGGGACGGTCCGCCCCAGCGCCAGCCGCGCTCGAGGAGCCGCCGTAGGCGCAAGGAGGAGCAGCGCAAGGGCGCCCAGCAGCAGCCCAGTGACCAGCGCGACGAGGGCGAGTCCATCATCCGCATCGAGCGGGTACCGCACCACGTCGATGCCGAGGTGGTCAGGCAGGTGGTCGTGCCCTTTGGGGTCGTCAAACACAACGCCTTCCTGTACGACCACCGCCACAAGCGGGAGCCGTGCGTGCTGGTGGAGTTCCAGCGCCGCGCTGACGCAAAGCGCGCGCGGGAGTGCATGAGGTCGAACTATCGGTTCTACAAGACGGACCCGTGCACGGTGGTCACGGAGTGGGCGAGCCGACCTCGCGGCCCTGACCCAGGCAGCGACGGGGAGGATGGCCCGACCATCCAGCCGCCTGCCTGCCCGACGTGCGCTTTCAAGATGCGCTGGAGCTCCTTCGACCCGGGAGACGGTTGGGGTTGCGAGATGTGCCCCGCGGGCGGAGCTAACAGCGGAGCCCTGCGGTGGCACTGTAAGGGGTGCGACGTGAGCTACTGCGAGGCTTGCCGCGTCGCCTTCGGCAAACCCAAGACGGCGGTGGAGAAGGCCCGGCGGAGCGGCCACACCGTGCGGGAGGCGCCGGGCCCCAGTGTCGGCCATGGCGAGCGCCCCAGCACGGGTGCCACGGGTGCGGGGGCTGAGGGGGACCGCCCGCCGGGCGATCTCAGCTGGCCCAAGCGTGAGAGGTCGCCCAGCCGCCACCGGCCCAAGCGCGAGAGGTCGCCCAGCCACAGTCTGGCGCGGGACCCAGCGTGGGCGCGGCGCGGCGACACCCCGCCCGGCCGCACGCGGCGTAAGACCGGGAAGCACGCTGGGCAGCTTCGCGCTCCTCGCGGCGGCTGGCACGAGCAGGAGAAAAAGCGGCGGCGGGCTGCCGCCGCGGAGGCTGCCGCGGGCGGGGGTGGGATCCCAGCCTGGCGTGGCAAGGGCGCGGGCGACAAGGGCGGCAAGGGCGGCAAGGTCAAGGGCAAGCACTCCGGCAAGGCCGCCAAGGGCTCCAAGAGCGGCGGCAAGGGCGACAAGAGCGGCAAGGGCGGCCACTCCAAGGGCGACAAGGGCAGCCGCGGCCGGAGTGAGCGTGACTGGCCCAGCGCGGACGGTCGCGCGTCGAGGGGCGGCGATGGCGGCAGCCCCCGGGACCCCAGTGAGCGCGGCGGAGACCGCAGCGGAGACGAGAGCCGCGACCGCCGGGGGAACACGCCCTCCATCTAGGCGTGGAGCTCCCCCCGCACCCCGACGCCAGCGCCCGCGGCATCGCGGGCGCGGGCTGAAGGCGGCGGCCTGTGAGTGAGCCGGCCCTCCTCTCAGCCTACCGTGCGCAGGTGGCGCCTGCGATCCTTGAGCCTACGGTGCGCAGGTGGCGCCTGCGATCTTGTTTCTTTTAGCCTACGGTACGCAGGTGGCGCCTGCGATCTCTTTCTTTTAGCCTACGGTACGCAGGTGGCGCCTGCGATCCTCCCTCTTGGAGGAGTTTAACGTTGCGCGCACGTCGCGTGCTTCCTGGACCCGGCCGTGCTGCGCGTCTTGCGCGCCGCGCGGTCGGGGCCACACTTGCGCTCTGCGCCCGGCGCCTCGTGCGCCGCCACCCTTTTCGGTTCTTTTGCGCGCATCGCGCACGCGCCGCGCCCGCGCGCTGGGCGCGCGGGCGCGGAAGGCCTCAAGGTTGCAGGCA